AACATTCAGACAAGCTAACATTTAGCTCATATATAAATAATTTATTATATTCAATTTTTAGTTTATTTCACGATTGTTGAAGGTTTCCATTCAAGGGGACTATAAAAACGAAAGCTTACCACTTATTACCCTAGAGGGCGGCCTTCCAATTTCTATCTAATACTGACACCAGTTATTGCTCTCGGAGCTTGACAGTAAGAGAGGCTAAGTGTACATAGTACCGTAGACAAAAATAAAATGCAGGAAACTGACAAAGACGGGGTGATATAAGAAGTAATAAAACATTAAAAATGGCATATAATTATTTTAAAATGAAAGACGGTAGACAACCGATAATGAATTCTCCAAGCATCGACTATTGGTGGTGTGCTTGTGGCATTTTAAATCAGTCCTTGTCAAACATTTTAATACTCAAATCTGTGGGATGATGCTTTATTTTTTTGGAATCCACTCTATTATCACACCTTACAATATAATAAAACATAGATCATAGAACGTTCAGCGGGAGAAATTCAAGAGTTGAAAATTATCTGCATAAATCACAAAAAACAAAAGAATAATGGTGAAGTGAATTAATAATGATCTGTTTGACTTTCTCCTGTTTTGAGTATGACTAAAGTTTGTGTGGCAGAGACTGACTACTGAATTGATGCTTGGAGAATGTTAATAACGGTTCCATGAGATTTGAACGACCACTGTGGCACAGAAAATGGACGTATTATTTAACTTATTGATGTACGTATATCTGTCAAAATCCCTCCCTCCCTTCCTCTCTATCCAACTCGGCAAATAATCAAAAAACAAATCACCACCTTAATTAGAAAATGAAAATTAAATTGGAAGTGGGGCCCCTGAATCTGAATCTCATCTGCCGACTTAAAATTTACCACCAAAATTTACATAAATTCACAACCTTCAATAATCTCTGAATATTTAAGGAAAACTTACACATAAAAATGTTTTCATAAAATTAATGTCTTTTTTTCTATCTCAATTTTATAATTCTTGGGCACCTGTCCCAAGAAGGAAAATAGAATCTGAAAATTGTAAGAATTTGTTAAATTTTTTTAACGAATTAAAGATCTGGTAAGTGACATTACATGATTTGATTGGGAACAACTGGTCACATGATGGTTTCAACATGATCAAAAGATGTTGATTGATCATAGCTGAAACATCAGAGCATGTGGTGTATATCATTCATTCCCAGCCATCAATCTGCCAATCCGAGCAGAGCTAGTACACCATGTGATGTCAATCAGCCAATCCTAGCAGAGCTAGTACACCATGTGATGCCAATCAGCCAATCCTAGCAGAGCTAGTACACCATGTGATGTCAATCAGCCAATCCTAGCAGAGCTAGTACACCATGTGATGCCAATCAGCCAATCCTAGCAGAGCTAGTACACCATGTGATGCCAATCAGCCAATCCTAGCAGAGCTAGTACACCATGTGATGTCACTCGTCAAATCACAAAGATGGGCTGACAATGGAAGCCCTAAAATAAAAAAAGAATACAAGCTGCAAAGCACATGTACAGTATTTCTAGAAATTTGTAGAAGAAATAACGTTTTTCATTTAGACATGTTCACCAAAATAATCTGCAACAAAAATATATATAATTTACTATTCAGTGAACGTGACCGTAAATGCTGCATACTTGCTGTATTGCAATCCAAATTAGTGATAAAATAATACATTTCTTTGGTTTTCAAATCTTTGTAATATGTACTCCTGTAATCCAAAGTAAATTTATACATAGAACCATTATATTCATTCAATCCTATACTTTTTACAGCTCACAGGTATATGTGCTCTCTGCAGTTAATGAAGGTGCAAAGAGTCTGGTATACCCACAACTGCGAAATATTACTATAACACTTTGTTCTAGCTCAAGATAACCCGACCAAACTGAAACACCCTGCTAGCTCAAGTGAACCCGACCAAACTTAAACACCCTGCTAGCTCAAGTGAACCCGACCAAACTGAAACACCCTGCTAGCTCGATTGAACCCAATCAAACAGAACACCCTGCTAGCCCAACTGAACCCATCCATACTAAAACATCCCATGTTAGCCCAGTTATTAATGTAATCTTACTAAAACTTCCTGTCCAGCCAAACTAAGCCCATCCTTACATAAACAGCCTAAGTTTGCCCAACCAAACCAACTACTAGTATACTAAAACACCCTGCATTAGCCCAACTATAAACGTAATTATTTATATATGCCAGTGTTATACAGTTTCTCAACCCTACTGTACCATCCAGTACTATCCTTTTGTTTGTACTATAACAGCCAGCAACAGCCCACTTTATCCCAGCATACTGTAACAACCATCGATAGCCCACTCTACCCCACCATACCATAACAGCCTGCGATAACCCACTCTATCCCACCATACTATAACAGCCTGCGATAGCCCACTCAACCCCACCATACCATACCAGCCTGCGATAACCCACTCTACCCCGCCATACTATGACAGCCTGCGATAACCCACTCTACCCCACCATACCATACCATACCATACTATGACAGCCTGCGATAACCCACTCTACCCCACCATACTATGACAGCCTGCGATAACCCACTCTACCCCACCATACCATACCATACCATACCATACCATGACAGCCTGCAATAACCCACTCTACCCCACCATACCATACTATGACAGCCTGCGATAACCCACTCTACCCCACCATACCATAACAGCCTGTATTAGCCTACTCTACCCCACCGTACTATGACACAGCCTGCGATAACCCACTCTACCCCACCACACAGTGATAGACTATGTGATAGCCAAACTCCATGTGATAACAATTAAACCCAACCCTGCTGTGTGAGGCGTTTCGCAGCCATTCCCTGGAGTTCTAATTGCACCTCAACAACACCACAACGTCCATGACAGGGACAATACAATATAAAAATATACATGGCTCAGTGTGTATGTGTTCCAAAACATAATGTGTTATTCAGAATTTCATCAGTATAAGAAACCACATACATCTGTGATTTAAAACTCATCAGCATTACCTACACAGTTATGCACTAAAACTAAAACTAGATTTGGTAAAAACATAACAAAATAAGCTGTAACTACCATACAAATAATGTTTATATACAGAACGTAGGAATATATCTGGACCCCTATTTTCTTAATCGAGGAAGTCCAGACTTGAATGGCAGTTGAAGACTGAAACAGTGATTCTTTTCATTTATAAACCAATGTCAAAATATTACGGCAGTCGATATAAGCTACAGAGCCATCATATTTCCCACGTTTCGGCTCCAGACAATACCACTGAACGCAAGACTTCACCAACTCATCAGTTCTCCACAATTGTTGATCCGGAAAATACTACGGAGAGTTGTCCAAGATTCCAGATCTGGACATTACTATTAAACGTTGACTTTGCCATCTGGTGATTAGGTTACTGTGGTTACTAAGGTTCTTTGTTTCAACTGAATCACTAAATGCTGACTTCCGGAGTGAGGTCTCCACAATCAGGGAGAGCAGTATGGGGAGTGGCCCAAGATTCCAGATCTGGGTAATACTACTAAATGCTGAATGATCACGTTTCCCAGATTCCAGATCCGGGCAGTACCACTTTGCCATCTGGTGTGTTCTCCAGATCCCATATCCAGAAGGAACCACTGATCGAATGCCGACTTTAGTTATCGTGTAGGTTCCTCAACTTCAGGATCAGAATCAGTCAACACCAATGAAAGCCCACTTTGATTTGAAATGAGTTAATTTTACCATGATCATGATCGCCAAATATTTCCTACAATGCAATTTCTCGCGATTTGTTTATCTTGTTTATGGACAACTAAATGTTTGTCCGAGTTACATGATTCAAGACATTTGCAAACAGTTTCTCTAGTAAACAAAACGTTTAAAACTTCAAAACCTTTTTTTACTTTCACAGATCCAATCATACGGAAAACTTAACTTCGGAACTATCTAGTAATACATTCTGAGATCTTGCGACTACTGTTACTGGAATAAATACTTAACAAACCAACACATTCAATTATGATCGCTGGAGAACACCATTTCAATATAGGGGTGATGGCATTTTTGGGTGATACCATTATTTCGTAGGTTACACATTGCTACTCTCTGTAAGTTCCTGACTTTTAGATCTTTTCATTTTTGCCTCTTCTGGTGTTGCTTCAAACATATTCCTTTCCAGTTCAAATCTAGCTCGTCTGCCCAGAACTCTACCAAGGGAACCCTGTAGAGGCAAATTGCAGATAGTTACAGTCAGTTGCAATCATTCGACCTACTGTAGAATACTTTTTTTTCGCTTGGCATTAATCTTCGCTATTTTCGCTGAAGGAATTATTCAGTTAAAATAAAATCCAGCAAATATACCTTTTTTCAGTTACAGTCAGTTGCAATCATTCAACCTACTGTAGAATACTTTACTTTCGCTTGGCATTAATCTTCGCTATTTTCGCTGAAGGAATTATTCAGTTAAAATAAAATCCAGCAAATATACCTTTTTTCATATATTTTAGATTCAACTTGTCAAAAATCAGTGAAAATAAATTCCATACAATGCATTAAAAATGTCTTTTCAGCGAAAATTTATTCCAGCTAAAATAAAGTATTTTACAGTAATACACAGAGGTGAAGAAATTTACACCTTGGAGTATGTATCTGAGATACTTATTAGAATAGTTTACTACCATTAAAAAAATACTCAGAAATCCTTGAAATCCAGCAAGAAGAGTTGGGGGACTGTAAATTATGAAATAAAAATATTGGGTCACCAAACTAATTTTTCTACAATACGACCTGAAACTTTGATCAAAAATGTTTTTTTTTTTTTAATAGTTTACAGTTCATTCCTAGGGCAGAAACATTCCCTCGTATCTCAAAATTGTGTTTGGTGACCTATGCTGAAAAAATTATATGTAGTGTTATGAGGGGTACATATGACAAAAAGTTGCAGAATTTTGAATGTTATCCATGAAATAATGTATTTACATGGAATCTTATGGAAAATGTTTCATAATTGCCACTTTTTAGATTATTTTGCATGTGTTTACACATCGTTCTTTCTTCGTGAAAACTTCAAATATGAATGACGTGGATGTACGTGAATCTTCACACAATAATTCGTGAATAATTTACTGTGATCAATGCCTTAAATACATGGAAATATCCCCAAAATACTTTTGTGTCTGTTAAATCACATATGATGTTTTGAAGCCACTCTGATGCTTAGACCTTTGTTTTTCACGTTTTTACGTTCGAAATGTCCTACTGTTACTAATGAAGCGAAGTTATAACATACAAGCCTGTATAAATTATGTTCTTTTTTAGAAATGTTATTTTGTAATTAGATTTTGAAATTCAGTACCATTTTTGTATCAACATCCACTCTGACAGTCATGTGTACATAACTTACCCTGAAACTATATCTTTTCTTCTCTTCGTCTTGGTAACCACCTTTGTATGACCTGACAAACGATTTACCAACTGAGCCGGAGGAACCTTTTTTCTTGTTGCCTAGCAATGACATCCCAGTAGCTTCCAACACACCTCTGTATCAACAAAAACAAATGTTTACATAAATGTAGTACAAAGCCAACACAATAAATCTTTGTTAAAAAAACAAGACATTATTTAATACTCAAATCACCAATTTGAAAAAAAGAAATATTCAGAATATCACTAAATGAAAAAAATTGCATGGTAAATATGAAACATTCTGAGAGTAAGTTTCGGAACAAAATCATATGAAAAGTTGAGGTTTCAGAGATTTCCATGTGACTAGTATTTTTTGAGTCTGTGTATATGGATATGCTTCCAGAGCCTTACTTACCTAGCTGGAGTAATCAATCCATTTAATTCTGTCTGAAGATGCCGCCTAATAATATTTTTTGTTGAAGGGATTCCTAATGCTGCGGCCATGGCATCAGAATTGAAAGACGGTTCAAGTACTAATAATGCTCCGTGTACTCCACTATCTAATAAATTATCAGCATATTCCTAGACAAGAAAACACATTTTATTATAAAAACTATGTGTATTAGAAAAATCTTACGTAACAGTTATTTCAATATTTCAAGCACAGTGATATCACATACTTTGCTTTTGTAGGAAACAACAAAATTAACACCCATATGCAAATCAGCCACAATGCTAAAAAAAAAACACTGAACACCCTACTTTACTGTTTGAATTGGTTTTTCACACAATGCTACATGCTGGTCTAGTTACAGATTAGTCTAGTCTCTGTAGTTGATACCTTCACAATTTACTGTAAGCTCCATTTATAGGCAAGGGGTGAATTTTTTGTTCTTGGGAATAAAAAACAAACATTACTACTATTCCTCTTGACCATGTAAGGCCAAGAGTTATGTTTCCGGTCTGTGAGTGTATCACCAAAGGAATTGGCGACCAGGGTTTTTCCCCCCACAAAGTTCTGCACAGCACAGCGCCCTCTGTTGATAATTTGAAAAAATCTGCAAAATTTGTGCCCCATCGAATATTTTAGTAAAAAAAGACATATCAAGACCTACCTTTAAGTCTATAGATTTGGCCCATTTAATAACTCGATGGTTCGTCCACACCAATGGATCAACATCAATTTCTTCACAAGATGCCCTTCTCTCCATCAAAATCTGAAATATAAATAAACAGTCACAAAGTGGCAAGTTTGTCAGCAATGATGGAAATTACTTTTTTTCATCAAATTAGTCCTTGAAACACAAAACACTGGGTGATTCTGCATTATGCATGAATGTAAAAACAGGACAAACAAAGGTCATAATGTCGTAGTGGAGTAAAAACAGTGCATGCGATACAACAAATGCAAAATAATTTTCTTGGGCATTTCCACGCTCAATAATGTGCTATACACATTTGATGTAGTAATGGTATCTCAATGCTATATTCCCATATTAGGATTGTCATTTCAACATTAAATTATAGATTTAGGTTCAAAATCAAATCATTTGATTTTTGTGGCAGATGTTCAATTTGCACATTTCATCTACCCCAGTATTACGTAAAAACTTTCTATTACCAGGTCATATGAGAGTTGGTATTCAGTCAGTACTATTTGAATGGGTTGATTTCTTAGAACGTTAATTTTGTTGTAATCCATATTTTTTCTGCACTTTTTTTCTTATATGCTTCAATATTTTTAGTAATGAATCTTAATTTTGGAGCCAACAGACAAAATTCGAGGCAATTTTCAGTTTTTACTCAACGAATTTGGCTATTTTTGTCCCAATCTCCCGAAGGTAAGTGGAGACTATAAATGGGACTATTTTGTGAATTTGTGCTGAAAAATGGGAACTGGTGGTGAAAAGGTTAAGTCCATCACTAACATCACATTCTCTCAACTACATGAAAGAACGCAGAGAAACTCGCAAATGGGCACATCAGGTCTATGATGATAAAGCTAGAAAGGAAATTTTCTTAGAATATAAATAAATACAAGCAGCCTCTCGGCTGAGATAGCTCCGCTGTTACCAATGCACATTTCAATTAAAGAACAGAAGATATCATTAGAAAATGAACAATATGTTTTTAACAAGAATTCAAAAATATCACTTTTTACCAAAAATGACAAAAATAATCATCAAAATTAGATAATTGAATATATCACCACGAAATTAACAAATCTGAAAGAGGTCCACATGTAGTACCTATATATGTAATATAAAAGCAATCAGACTTGCGGTTCTTAACAAGAAGTCGAAAATATCACATTTTAACAAAAATTACAAAAATATTCACTAAAATTAGAGAATTGAAGATATCATCACGAAATGAACACATCTGAAAGAGGTCCACATGTAATACCTATATATGTAATATCACAGGAATTGGACTTGCGGTTTTTAACAAGAAATCGAATATATCACTTTTTACCAAAAATGACAAAAATATTCACCAAAATTAGAGAATTAAAGATATCATTACAAAATGAACAAATCTGAGAGAGGTTCACATGTAATACCTATATATGTAATATCAAAGCAATTGGACTTGCGGTTTTTAACAAGAAGTCGAAAATATCACTTTTTACCAAAAATGACAAAAATATTCACTAAAATTAGAGAATTAAAGATATCATCATGAAATGAACAAATCTAAGAGAGGTCTACCCAAGGTACATATACACCAAGTATCAAAGCATTCAGGCTTATAGTTTTCAAGAAGAAGTCGAAAAAGTAAAACATTGACACGAACGACGATGGACAATCACTCATATGATAAGCTCTGCTCGACAAAGTCAACAGCGGAGCTAAAAATCAGCTGTATACTGACTAATGACTAATTTCCACTGGGTTTAAATTTCGCTGATTTACCATTTCAGGCATATTCAGTGGGTTTTAAATTCACGGTTTTATCATTTAGATAAATTTTACATATTCACTGGGTTTTAATTTAGTGCATTTTCCAAGACAGCGAAATAAGCAAAATTAACACTCAGTAAATAATTAATCGTTTTACAGTAGGTGCTATATACATGTGAATTCATGTACACTTTACTAATATACCTGTGTATTCATTTCATACTTCACTGGTAACTCTGGTTCAGTTTCGAATGAATTAATAAATAAAATTTTCAAAAAATACATCAGATCTTTTTAAGATAAAGTAGAATGTTACAACAAAGACCCAATAAGCATTGCAGATCATTATGACTAACCTCCTTATCAAAGTTTAACCTCCTTAGTAGCTCAATACCATGCAGTAAACTCGCTTGGTGGAATTTTCTCGTTACATTCAGATGTTTATCTAAATCTTTTTTGCTGAGAACGTTTAGAACCCGTCCATCTACGAGCTGTTCTTCGAACATCAACGAATGCTGACCAAGGCCGAGGTCATTCAACCAATTTCTTGCCACCCATTCATGGTCCATTTCACCAGCTTTTGGATATTTACTACAAAATTAAAAAAAAATGTACGTTTCCCATATCAGGCCACATTCATCAAAAGTAATTAGAAAGAGCTGCCTCGTTCTTTCACAAGCAATATTCACAAAAATCTCGCACGTTCAAAGAAAAAAAAATGGCACGTAATAGTTTGTCAGTGAAAATGCAATGGCAGTTCCTCGTTATTATAGTGGAAATTTACAGATCGTGACTTGCTTATTAGATCAGTGTCATGGGAAGAAAAAACGCAACATAGCAACATTATGCAAGTCTCAAACACGCACTAAATTCAGTGCTAAAAAAAACACAAACACTTCAATATGATGTAACAAATCAATCAACATTTCAATGACAGTAGAGAGTCCAGATAAACAAAATAAACAATTATTGAGCACAGACACACACATACAGTCAGTATTGATTACACACATGGTGATTTACCTTTCAACATCTTCTCTTTCTTCCTCTATAGCTAGTCTTAGTTTTCTGTGATGTAATGTGTTGTTTATGCCCAACGCTACGTCAAGTTCGGCATCAGTCAAACCGAGTAGAAACCTAACAATCAATCACATTATACATGTGCTGTTTTATTCTGTCATTATACATAACTGCGTGGACATTATATTTTGAGGGCTCAGATCAGAATAATCAAAACCAACTTAAGAATGACACATCTGAAGAAAGAATTCCAACTTTACTACAGTATATTATCGAGTAAACGTAGCTGTCAACAACAAAAATTAACTCAACCAACTACGATTGGCAACACAAAATCTTTGTGATATTGGATGTTAATGAAAATAATGAAAAAAAAAATTTAATGGGTAAACATTATATTAGAAAGGAGAAATATGATGTCTAGTTCACATCCAAGGATGGATTAAATTAAGGGTCTGCAACACACATGAATGGTGGCCTGTATTGTGGATCCCACCGAAAAGACGAGGAATTCACGTCATGGACGTAATATAAGCTGATTATCACACTGATCATAAGAATGTTAATCATTCACTAGTACTGTATTTTATATTTCCAAAAATGTGCAGTCATCTCATTATTTATTGTGATCACTGGTATCTTCATCTTATATCACCATGTTTACCTACTCGCAAATGCAAAAAAAAAAATAACAGGTTACACGAAATACTGATCATTGTTCAAAATAATCCTACCTTTCCACTCTTGATGTTAGTAGCACACATCTTTGTATACTTTGGCATATGCATTGTGCATTCTAGCCATGACGATACCATGCTAGAACTCCATTTGATCATTGCCGTCTGTTTACACTCCTCCACTAACAATAGCTTATCGTCTTGACTCAGATCTAAACTGGAGTCTCTCTGTTCCATACTGGCTGTTGGAGTATCTAAGAATGAAAACAGCAATGACAAAAAAAGATAGGCAAATGTTGATAATGGAAGCAAAATAGCATGAAAAACAGGAGGATTTCATTCTTTAACTATAGAGGGCACCACACACAAATTTACCTTTAATTTACAGGAAAAATCCAGCTATTAACATAATGCTCCCAGAAGAAAAAGCTCTATATCACTTTTTATTTTCTAGATATTTAACTTTTTATCAGTATTATGGAGTCTACCATTTTAATTCTCCAGCAAAGGATTATTGGTAAAGTATGACATCATAGGCACTGTTGTGAAAAATTGACCCCCCCTTTGAACCCATATATTTTACCGCCAGCATTTAGATGCAGCACTTCGAGCATTATTAGGTATTTTTAAATAATTTTAAGTAGCAATCCCAATACTTACCTTCATACACTAAAGCTTCTAGTATTTTTTTATTTTTCCCTCGACCAAACACTTTTGATAATGAGCCAAAAGCTCCACTCTTTTTCTTCTTTCGTTTTTTCTTATCTTCATGCGTGCCACTGCTATCAACGACATCAAGGTCCTCCGTTGATTTAGACGTGTCACATTCCGGTGCAGTGTGGATAGAGTCTTGGCCATCATCTGTTATATCTAAAATGAGTAAAATCATTGCTTTATATGTATTCATGGGGCCGAAGCTTTGTCACAGAACATTCTATGTTGGTTGGAAGCAAGATGCTGTGGAACGCCAGTCAAACAGCACAAACTCAAATTTGAAATAGTCCTGAGCAAAATTTATATATGTTGCACATGTAGGGGTAATCTTGTTACGGTAGAATATTCAGAGAAGTCTCAGCAACTATCCCAAAGTACAGATTACCGTTCGAAAAAATGACTTATTTTTCCCTGACAATGATTGGCTACTGAAGAGGTTTTTATCTGGAAGCAGAGGATAAATAATTAGGAACCATTAGATATTCCTGATTGTGATTGGTTATTGACAAAGGTTAATCCATTTTATTCAGGGGGATATAGGGTAAATATTGAGGGACCTATTAGATATTCCTAATTGTGACTGGTTATTGACAGAGGTTGATCCATTTTATTCAGGGGGATATAGGGTAAATATTGAGGGACCTATTAGATATTCCTGATTGTGATTGGTTATTGACAGAGGTTGATCCATTTTATTCAGGGGGATATAGGGTAAATATTGAGGGACCTATTAGATATTCCTGATTGTGATTGGTTATTGACAGAGGTTGATCCATTTTATTCAGGGGGATATAGGGTAAATATTGAGGCACCTACCTGATATCCCTGATTGTGAGAGATGGCTTCTGGCAGTATGAGGAGGTGAAACAATGTGAGCTAGTGATGCTGGAGGATGAACTATTGCTGGACTTTCAAAATTGGAGAAATGTAACTCTCCTATTGGTGCCTCAGAACTGGGACTCATGGTACCAGATATACAGGATATGTCCCTTGTGGTAATAGCACCTGGCGTAGTACCTGCAGTAGAGTGTGGTGTGCCGCGAGTCGCCACACCTTGTAGTTCCCTGGGTGTGCTACTATACCGTTCTGACCTTTCTAATTCCAACTGTCTTTTAGCCTGAAATACAAATAATTTTTCACAACCAATTCCCTCTTTTCATCACAAATTCACAAAATAGTCCTGTTTATATTCTGCACTTTTTTTTCAAAAGATTGGAACAAAAGTGGCCAAAAACAAAAATTTACTCAAATTTTTTCTGTTGGCTCCAAAATTAGGGTTCATATTTAGAAATATTGAAGAATACAAGAAAAAAGTGCAGACAAAATTTAGGTGAGAAAGTCTTGTGGTGGAAAGGTTAACACATATGCAGTCAATGCCCTATGGAAATGCCAATGTGGTGGTAAAACATTTTTATAAACCCTAATTCCATACAAATCAATCTTACCTCTCGAAGTTCATCTTCTAACCTTGATAAATATTTGTTTTTGTGTTCCATTTGTTCTCGTAGCAGGACACACCGCTCAGCTTCATCTCGCGCTCGTTTTAAAATTTCCCACCTATTTTTTTCAGCTTCTTCTTTTTCAAGAACTAATTGTCTCATACTGTTGTCGCTTTCCTCCACTTGGTATTCATAATTTCGTATAAAATCCCGTAGTTCCTCATCTTTGGCTTCCAGTGCAGAATAAAGCTGTTTCATTTGTTGTAAAAGTTCAACTTTGTCAGTTTTAAGTTTTTTTCTGTCATTTTTCATTGCTGAAGAAAAAAAAAACATTCATAAAAAAACTTATAAATGACAACCCCTAACTCACTTCAAGGTTTTTTAACCTCTCTAATTGTCTCAAAATTCACCAATAATTTTGATACTAAGGAAGACATCGTCTTTCTGTGTGTAAATAATGAGGTCATACTTGTGCCACAATACATTGAAGCTGATGCCATGAGACTGCGAAGCTGATGCCACAATGACGAGAAGTTGATGCCACAATGACGAGAAG